CCACTCATTGACAAATGGGACAACTTCCACGGCAGAAGGGACCTTTATGCTAGGGATGGGGTGCACCTGTCTCGGGATGGGGTGGCAACCCTGGCGGGGTCTCTGGAGGGGGCAGTTCAAAAGATATCGAAGTCTTTAAACTGCTAGGGGAACATATGGGCACGGGGGTGGGGGAGACTGCAGTGGGAGTGGGTAAACAAAGTAAAAGGTTACAGGGAAATAGTGTTAGGAATGATGACAAAGCTAAATTAGACAGCGAGTTAAGACCTAAACTTGGTAAAGGGAGGACTCAGAACACAACTAACCTAAATGTCTACTACACGAACAGTAGAAGTATGAGAAACAAAATGGATGATATTAGGGCCTTGGTATGTACCGAAAAAATCGATATAATAGCTTTCACTGAAACATGGATCAACCTAGACTCACGTGAGTTACCTGTCGAATACCAAATTGCAGGTTACAAATTGTTCCTTACCGACAGGCACACCAGGAAAGGAGGCAGAGTAGCAGTCTATGTCAGGGATAACCTGAAGTGTGAAATAAACAAGGATATAAACATTGAGAGGAATACAGAAACAATTTGGATAGAATTAATCGACGGTAGGGAAAAATTAATCACAGGAGTAATATATAGACCTTCCAATCTTGATAGAGTTAATGAGCGTCTTATCTGGGATGAAATGCGCAGGGCTTCCATACACAACAAAGTCTGTATAGTAGGCGACTTTAACCTTGCCAAATAGATTGGACTGACCTTAAGGGTAACTCAGAATCAGAGGATTTTCTCGAAATGATCCAGGACTGTTTCCTAAGTCAACATATAAGCGAACCCACCCGGGTAATAATATACTCGATTTAGTTCTGTCGAACACAGAAAACCTTATTAGCAATGTCGAAGTAGGGAACGAACTTGCAAACAGCGATCACAAAGAAATTAGATTCCAGTTAGATTTTCAGGGCGGACGAAAGGAAAATTCTACTAAAGTCCCAGATTTCAGAAGGGCAAACTTTGATAGTTTGAAGAGGTAGTTGAGGGAAGGGGTATCATGCCTGGGGGTGACTCACACCGACCTCACCGCACCTGCGAACCTGACGGTTGACACCGACCTGATAACGAGATCTGAGATTGCCGAGTTCGACGACAATTTAAATAATGAGTTACTTAATGCACAAAGGGTCAGACAACAATGACCCTAAATGGATAAATAATTATTTAAAGAACATTATTGGCCAAAGGAAGGCTATAGGTAGAAGGATAAATCGTGGCGAAATTTACCTCCGGGATTATTATAAGGTATTGGCGATTAGAGTTAAAACAGAGATAAGGAAGGCCAAGAGGAATAATGAGGTAAGGATAGCAAGGGAGGCGAAGACAAACCCCAAAGGATTCTACAAAATGTGTCAAACTAAAACACGAGAAAAGATTGGACCAATACTGTCAGATACCGGCGAGCTAACTGATAACGACGGAGAAATGAGCAATAATCTGAATAAATATTTTTCAACAGTTTCCACCACCGAAAATTTAAATATGATACCCGAGGCACCGACTCTATTCAGAGATAGTGAAGAAAACAAATTAAGCGAGATAGTAGTGACTTGTAACGATGTTAGTTAGCAAATAGACAAACTAAAGCCTAATAAGTCACCTGGTCCCGATGGGATATTTGCCAGAGTATTAGAGGAATGTAAGGAAGAGCTTAGTATGCCCTTAGCAAAGTTGTAGTACCAGAATCCTGCAGGACAGCAAATGTAATACCGATTTTCAAGAAGGGGGATAGATCACTATCCTCTAACTACTGCCCAATCAGTCTAACATCAATAGTAGGCAAATTACTGGAAGCAATCATTTCAAACTCGATTCGAAATCACCTGGAGAAGCACCGATTGATCAATGATTCCCAGTATGGCTTCACAAGTGGGCTTTCTTGTCTAACTAATCTATTAACATCTTTTCAGTAGTTTTCGAATCGGTGGACGAGGGGCACAATTATGATGTGGTATATCTCGACTTTAGCAAAGCCTTCGACAGAGTCCCCCACGAAAGACTAATTAGAAAGGTAGAAGCACATGGCACTAAATCCCATTGGAGCAACGTCATTAGTGGAGTTCCCCAAGGCTCAGTACTTGGGCCATTATTATTTTTATATACATAAAAGACATAGATATCGGCATAGACAACAACATAAAAAAATTTGTTGATGACACCAAAATAGGACCTGTTATTAAATCTGAGGAGGACTCCACAAAACTACAGGAAGATCTAAGCAAACTTTTCGAATGGTCTGAAAAATGGCAGATGAAATTCAACGTGGGCAAATGTAAAGTACTCAGTATAGGAGATGTAAACAGGGAAACCAGTTACCAGATGAACAACGATGCCATTGAGAAATCCGACTGCGAGAAAGATTTAGGAGTAATGATAAGTCGGAACCTTAAGCCAAGTAAACAATGTGTATTTGCTCGAAACAAGGCTAATAAAGTACTTGGGTACATACAAAGGAGTGTTAGTTACAAGACTAGCGAGGTCATCCTAAAACTATATCTTGCGTTTGTGAGACCTCACTTGGATAATGCAGATCAATTCTGGTCACCTTATTACAGAATGGATATAGAATCCTTGGAAAGAATTCAGAGGAGAATGACAAGGCCAATCCCAGGCATTAGGAACCTTGAGTACAGAGACACGTTAAAGCATCTTAATTTGCACTCCCTCGAGAGACATAGAGTGAGAGGCGATATGATAGAGGTGTATAAATGGAAGTCAGGGCAGAACAATGGGGACATTACAAAGATACCCAAACTATCCAACCAGGAGAGAACTCGTAACAATGGTTTAAAATTAGACAAATTTAGATTTAGGCTCGAAATATGTAAACACTGGTTTGGTAACAGAGTAGTGGATGAATGGAACAAGTTTCCAAATATTATTATTAACTCGAATACGCTGGATAGCTTCAAACATAGGTTGGATGCTCATATGAGCAATAGGGGTTAAGTGTAAACGGGACTGCCCAGTATGGGCCAATAGGCCCGCTGCAGTTTCCTCTATTCTTATGTTCTTATGTTCTTATGTACTTGTAAGCCCGGACCTACAGCCTAAAAAAAACAGTGCGTTAATGTTCGAAATAAGGCAAACAGAATATTAGATTTTATATCTAGAAATGTAAGTAATAGGAGTGCAGAGGTCTTATTGCAACTATATCTTGCGCTAATCAGGCCGCATCTCGATTATGCGGTTCAGTTCTGGTGCCCTTATTATAGAATGGATATCAATTCACCAGAGTCGGTGCAGCGAAGAATGACGAAAATGATACCGGGACTTAGAAACCTTCCATATCAAGATAGGTTAAATAAACTAAACTTGCATTCCTTAGAAAGACGAAGAGTGCGGGGAGATATGATAGAAGTATTTAAGTGGGTAAAAGGAATCAATAAAGGAGATACAGATAAAGTTCTTATAATATCCGAGCAGGATAGGACTCGGAACAACGGATTTAAGTTGGATGAGAATGACGAAAATGATTCCGGGACTTAGAAACCTCCCATAACAAGATAGGTTAAAGAAACTAAACTTGCATTCCCTAGAAAGACGAAGAGTGAGGGGAGATATGATAGAAGTATTTAAGTGGGTGAAATTAATCAATAAAGGGGATATAGATAAAGTTCTTATTTTATCCGAGCAGGATAGGACTCGGAGCAACGGATTTAAGTTGGATAAGTTTAGGTTCAGGAGGGAGATAGGAAGGAACTGGTTCACAAATAGGGTGGTGGACGAGTGGAACAAGCTTAGCAACTTTGTAGTAAGTACTGGAATGCTGGAAAGTTTCAAAAGGAGGCTAGATAGATTCATGGATGATAGAGAGTGGTAGTAACTCTCGACAGGAGCTGCCATGCACAGGCCAACCGGCCTATTGCAGACTCCTTATTTTCTTATGTTCTTATGCTCTTATTTAAGAATATTTTGATTCTACCTTATCGCATTGAATTTGTCCCGTTAGTTCAATCCCTTAAATTATTAAACATTAATGTTGTTTTTAAGTATGACTCAACTATTACTAATATACAAATTAAGAATAGCCCAACCTTGAATGTAAATGGAAGTGTTTACTGTATTCCATGTAGCAATTGTAATGAAAATTATGTAGGTCAGACTGGGAAAGCATTGCAACTCAGAATTAAAAAGCATAAGTAATATTTTAGAACGGCATCTGAAAGCAGTGCACTTTTCGTTCATATAAGGAATAATAATCACCCCATAGATTGGGAAAACAGTTTAGAAGTGTATAAATCATCATGTGTCACAGAAAAACTTTTAGTTGAAGCAATTTTGACTAGAGAACTGTATTCTATAAACCTTAGTGATGGTCAGTACAAAACTGATAATATGTTACACAAATTTATTTGTCAGTGGCCCAAGGTTAAAAGTGCTTTGAAAGCATGTAAGTTTGATGTATGATAGATGATTAGTGGGTCTCATATTTTTTATCCTGACGTGACATGACTAGTTATGTCGCCAGTTCTTATAATCTCTTCTTATGTTTGTGTCGTTGGTGTGTGGATTAGTGGATGTCTGTTTTTAGGACCTGACCTCATGTTATGTAAGGTTACCCTATGTTCATAAGCTCTCTCTTAGTCTTTGTAATTCAGTTGCCTATGAAGATGTCTTGAATAAAGACGGAAGCTAAGGTTCTCCATTGTTTCCATTTTCCTTGTGTGATTTTATCAAGATTTATCTAATCAACGTTTCCACTGTGGATCTACGTGAAATATATATATATATATATATATATATATATATATATATATATATATATATATATATATATATATATATATATATATATATATATATATATATATATATATATATATATATATATTAGTTATTCGTTATCAGTGTCGCACTACAGCTGTATCCTGTTAGTGAATGACTGTTTATAGTAACTTTGACCTGGATAAAGCCTTGGCCTTACATGACCCCTTAATTCCCACAGATCTGCTCACTGGTTAATGACCCTAACTCGGGGTGGACCAAAAAATTCGACGACAAAGGAATGTGTCCCTATGCCTTTAAAGGTCAGTAACTTGATGTATATGTATACATATATATATTTATATATATATATATATATATATATATATATATATATATATATATATATATATATATATATATATATATATATATATATATATATATATATATATATATATATATATATATATATATACACGAATATATGTTTGTATGTATGTGTGATGCCATGCATCTAGTGTGGCAGTGTTATGTTAGTGTTAAAGTGCAGGCATTGCTTGCTTCCTCTTGCTTTCAACTACTGCCGCTGGATTGCCCTCAAGGTGAACAGGGAGTATGTCATCCCCTGCCAGTATACAGCCTCTTCACCATCAACACCCCTGTTGTGCCTCCTCGTGGCAACACACGGTATTTGGGTGCCTCCTGAGCCTAGACTAGACCAGTAGGGGATCTTGGAGGAACAGTGGACCCCAGAGGGACGGTGCATAAGCCCACTGGCATGTGGACACGTCCTGGCGCCTACTAACCACTGACCCACTGCCTTGCGGATTAACCTTGATAGGTTAATCCGCAACAGGCAGACATACTTACAGAGCTCCAGCATGACCCCAATGGCGGTATAGGTAGAAGAGGTGACCAATATGGGAACCCAACGACTACATCGACGGATGAAGGCAGTGCATGATGGATAGGCGAAACCCAACAAACAAGGCTAGCGGCATTCCATTGCATCTCTCTCTCCCCAGTCGATGCAACTACTTGTACCACTGGATCAGGAAAAGGGAGAGCCAAGATTTGTGGTTGCAGCCTATGCTATACCTTTTTCTGGAAGGGTAAGCCTGCTGCAGAGGGAAACCATCATTTGCGGAGTTGGCTTTGCCATTCGCCAATCCATCCTACATAGGCTAACTGAACTCCCTGTTGGGTTCAACAAGCGCCTCATGACGTTTCGAGTCCCATTGAATCACTCAAGTTCCGCCTTCTTCATCATTGTATACGCCCCAACACTGGATGCAGAGGATGACATCAAGGAGTCCTTTTACGCCGACCTTGACAGAGTGCTAACCTCTACCCCCAGAGAAGATAAGGTTGTGTTCCTAGATGACTTCAATGTAAGAGTTGGCAGAGATGCAGGGAATCATAGGGAGAAACGGAGAAGGCAAGTGTAATCCCAACGTCCAACTTCTCCTCAGCAAGTGTGCTGAACACAACCTCATTATCACCAACACCTTGTTTAGGCAGATCGATAAGATCAAGGGTTAATGGCAACACCCACGATCGATACATTGGCATCTCATTGACTACATCATTGTCTCAGAAAGAGTTCACCGAGATGTCCTCATCACGAGAGCCATGCGTGGCTCAGACCACTGTGATACAGATCATCGGCGCGTCAGAGTCAAACTTTGCTTTCACGTCGCCCCAAAACGGAGAAAGCAATAAGCCTCCAGAAGAGGTTTAAACACCAAGCAACTGGAGGATCCAGCGGAAGCACATGCCTTAAGAGAGCAGCACAATGATGAGCTGGCAAACAGCCCAACAACAAACAACCAAAATCCCAGTGCCGAATAGGGTCCCTTTAAAGCTGTCATCACAAAAACTTGCAACGAGATACCCGGCCAGATCAAAAGAAAACACCAAGATTGGTTTAATGAAACCGACCCGGAAATCGAAGTACACGTCAATTATAAACGTGCTGCTCTCACTGACTGGCAAAGCAACCCTAAGTCTCGGAGCAAAGCTGATACCTTCCACGAGAAGAATACGGTAGTCCAACGCGAACTTCGCAAACTACTGAATGAACGGTGGAAAAATAATGAATGTGAGATGCAAAAATCTTCGGATCAACACAAGATGCGTAAATTTTTAAATTCTTCGAAAACAATATATGACCCAGCTATTCATGGCTTGGATCCCCCTTTGCTCATCCGACGGTAACTCCCTAATTAAAGACGGAGAAAGCATCCGTCAGCGCTGGAAAGAGCACTACCATTCGCTACTCAACCGAAACATCGATGTAGATGTCCTGACGACCCATCATGCTCCTCAGCACCCAGAGCTGACTCACCTCAGCTATCCTCCATCCCTAGATGAGGTAGCTACTGCCATCAAACAGATGAAAAATAACAAAGCCACAGAGCATGATGGAATCCCAACCGAGGTGTATAAAGCAGAAGTACCTCTTCTTGCCATCCATCTCCATTCTCTCCTGGAGAATATATGGGAAAAGGAGGAAATCCCCCAAGATCTTAAAGAAGCCTCGATCGTCAATATTTATAAGATTAAGGGAGACTGGTTAGACTGTGGAAACTACCACGGGATCTCACTGCTGTCTGTAGTTGGCAAGATTATCGCCCGAGTCCTCCTAAACAGACTTCTTCCTGAGGCGGAAAACTTCCTGCCAGAATCTCAATGTGGTTTTAGACATCACGTGGCACCACTGACATGATCTTTTCTGCTCTTCAGATGCAAAAAAAAACTGCAGAGAATAGCGTCATGACTTGTACATGGCCTTTATTGACCTAAATAAGGCCTTCGACTCAGTCAACAGGGAAGCCCTCTGGTACAAATGAGTCGTTTTGGCTGCCAACCAAAATTCATTTCCAATGTGAGGCAACTCTCCGATGCCATGAACGGCAGTGTCCAACACAATGGCACCCAGTCTGAGTTCTTCCCCATCCAAACGGGGATAAAACAAGGATGTGCACTGGCCCCCAACTCTCTTTTCTATCTTCTTGGCTGCCTTTCTTACTCGTGCCAGTGCCAATTTAGCCAGCGGGGTGGATATCCAGTACCGGATAAAGGAACTTTTCAACATAAGATGACTCCAGGCAGGAACAAAGGTGTCGGGAACTTCCATCACTGAATTTCAGTATGCAGACGACCTCACACTCGTCGCTCACATTGAACGTGACATACAGGAGATCCTGAACACCTATGCAGATGCGAACGCACACTTCGGCCTTGAGGTGAATGCACGTAAGACTCAGAATTCCCTTTCATCCTGCCCGTGGTCCAACCACACCTCCACCATCCATCCAGCTTAACGGTACTACTCTCTCTAATGTTACTCACTTCCAATACCTTGCCTCCAACCTGTCCACCATCGTGGACATGGATGAAGAGATTCAATATCGGATCGCATGTGCATTTCAAGCCTTTGGCAGACTCCATACCCGTGTCTTCAGCTGTAGGGAGCTGAAATTATTTACAAAGCTGCACGTGTATCGAGCAGTGGTCCTCCCCACCATGCTGTATGTCAGGAGGCACCTCAAGGCACTTGAAACCTTTCACCAACGTAGTCTACGTTCCATCCTCCGAGTTCTCTGGGAAAACAAGAGAACAAATGCCAGTATTCTCGCTGACACAACTACGTTGGACTGGCCATGTTACCCGCATGAACTACAATAGACTGCCAAAGCAGCTAATTTACAGTTTCCTAACGAAGAGCAAACGTAACGCTGGCTAGCAACGGAAAAAGTATCAGGAGAGTCTTAAGACAAACCTGAGAGTGTGTCAAATCTACCCCCTCACCTAGGAAACGATCGCTCCACACCGTAGTGCTTGGAGGAGGATCACACGAGAAAGTGTCAATACTTTCGAGTTAGCCCGATTGCATACCGAGGCAGACAAGCGCCAGCAAGACGCTGCCGCCTCCCCTCCCGCACTAGATGTAGCCTTCTACACGTGCAACATCTGTGGACGGCCCTGTCGATCCCGTATCGGCCTCTCGATTCACCTCAAAACTCACCAACGTAGGTGACATCCTTAATAACTCATATCATTGTATCATAGCTAGATGATCGTCATACTCGTTTCCGAGGAACAGCAAAGTAGAAGTAGTAGTGTGTGTGTGAGAGAGTAATTTTAGAATGTAGTATATTTTGAGCTTGTATGGAAAAGGGACTGATGTAGATAGATAGATAGATAGATAGATAGATTATTCATTAAAATTATCATAAACGTTTACATTGATTAAGCATATATATAGATAATGCAGGTACAGCATACAATATACCTAGACAGTGCAGTACAGGCATATAAATGAAGAAGCTAGACAGTGCTCGTACACACACACTGTACTGTCAACAGCAGAAGTTCGTCCCGAACCATAGTGCATGATATGAGGCAGATAATATGGTAAAACTGTATGGGGATGTGTTGAAATATATGCTTTAAATGGCTACTTATTTAAAATTTAGGATTGTAATTTGCTTAAGAATATATTTATGTGTGCAATATAACATATTTGGTATCAATGAGTAAAATGTGGGAAATAATTTTATTGAAAAATATATGACATTACTGCAAGATGATGATTCATAACTGGGAATCTGATGTATACTGTATTATTATTCTTACTGCTGATGACAACGGGCCATTTTTCATCCTTAATGACATTCATAATACGGCAATGTCATATACGGGGTATTTCTCAATAACATTATTTTCCCACATTTCACACAATGACACTAATTAAGTTATATACAAGAAATGTATTTTTAGACAATCTCCGATCATAAATTTTAGATAACTAACTATTTAAAGCAATCTATCAACTTAACCGCATACATTGTTACCAGAACACTTGTCTCATGTCATGCAGCACGTTGATTCTTTTTACTTACTTTTACTTTTGATCCTCTTCGCCACTTGTCGGCTCGTTAGCAGCTTGGGCGGTTGGTCACGTCTCTGTTACGCTCTGTTGGCAAATACTGGGCATCACTGGCTCCTGGATGTATCTGAACCTGCTCCATTATTGGTCAAGTCTACAGTAGTCTTGAAAGAGTTCACACTCGGTGCCGTCACAATACTCTGGCAGAATTCCAAGAGTTCATAATTCTCACTCCGAAAAAGTTTGCCCTCGCAGTTTTTTTTTTTGGGACTTGTGTCTTCTTTAACTTTGAGCTGAGACCCTTTGTGGAGCAGGCGTCCGCCAGCTCCAGGTATGGACACTCGACTGAGTAGTGTCCTCTGAGATGTATATACACCTCAATTAGGACGAACTTCTGTTGTTGACTGTATATTGTAGGGGCTTATG